ACGCTGAGGAAGAGCACCGGACTGGCCTGCAACAAGGACGGATCTATGATTTTACGGGTGGGGGCGCTACCAGAGTTTCAGGTGATGGTTTGTTCCCGAATGTTGCGATTAAGTTTTAATTTAGGCCTACTAGGCTATTATTTCAGGGTTTTCTTTTATTTCTATGCTCTTGATAATATAGAAGATGAATTTCATTTATTCATCTATTTTCCCTATTTTTATGATTTTAGAAAACCTTTTATTCATTATATTATTACCACTACCCCAATGTTATAATGAAACCTGAAAGGATATCCTGTATATAATAAATATATTTAAATAGATTGATGTTTTATTCTGCTGATAATAGAATACATGATATTATTTGTCAGTAATTTGAAAGTTTTTTTATTGTAAACAATTTTTTGATACAGTGCTTGTATATTTATCAATAATGAATTATAAAAAGTATAAATTTGCTGATCAAAACACAGTTTTTGCGATTGTTGAATCTTTAAAATTGCTGTCTGTTTCGGCTACCCTAGAAAATAAATAAGTGATTGAACATTCGGACATCACAACATTCGCAATATCTATGTTATGGTTCGGGATTGTACGAGAACTGATTTGCCTTGGTCAACCCCTCCCCCCACCACCCCAACCAGCCCCTGGTATTCAGAGTATGAGTATAAATTTGTATAGCTTGTTGATCATGAATCGCGCAGAGCATCTCAAAATACCCTATTATAAGCACCATGGCTTCAGAGACAGAGAAGTTGAACGCTACTAGAGTTTTTCAGTGAAGTCACTCCAGGCACTAGACTTGCCACAAGTCTCTTATTTTTTATTATTTTTCTCATTCTGGACAGCGCCACCAACGAGAAAGTTAATTTAGAGACTAAGTGCAATAAAGAGTAAAAACCTAAAATTAGGGCCTGGAACCCAGGCTATCCAGGCACGTGGAATTAGCAGTTACGAAAACGATAACGAATATGGTTATGTCATCACCTTTTTAGTCAACCTTTCCCCTACAGTAGCTTATCTGTCAGATTAGGCAATTCATGTTGTTTGAATCAAGGATATCATACTGTATTGAGCTCGTACAGCATATTGTCAATAATGTTTTAGGCATGAATGACGACAATGATAATGACGTATTCGTTATCGTTTTCGTAAGGTTGCAAAATCTCCCTGAGATTGATTATTGGTCTGACCAACGAGAATTCCACTGTTTGCGCCGACACTGGTGTTCCCCCATTTCCGAAATTTCGATTTTTTTTTTAAAGTATGTCCTCACAGGGCCGCACTATTCTTACCGAGTTTACTCATGAAGTGGTGCACAACTACCCGGTTTGACAAGATAAGATAGGATTAACTTTATTGTCCAATATAAAAAATGTAAATTTGTTTCCTCTTTGGCAATATAAGACATATAAACACATAAAAGTGAATAAAAACACGTGAAAGTACAAGATGACACGTGAATTACAATGGTGTGCCTGAACGCAAAAATCCATTTGTCCTGTTGCAGTTCCAGCGCTGAAGTTGTTTGCGTTTCAAAATTGCAGTGTGTTTTAAGTGATTCCGTGCACGTGCGTTTTAAAGGCCTTTTTTGCTGGATTCACCACACCGCACAACCGGCTGAAATCAAAACAGATGAATCGCCGCTCCATGAAGCGATTAAAATTATTGAAGCGCATGTGGTTACGGACACGCAACACAACCGCACTAAAACCGGTTTTCAACTAGGCGAATTTATTCGCGAGAATCGAAAGCGTATAAATTCGTCTAGTGGAAAACCAGCTTAATGGAATAACTCTCGTTTAAAACAGTTATATTGAAATAAATGGGACCTCACCGCAAGCGGAGCCTCAATCGCAACCGTACAAATGGTTCCTAGCTTAATTCTTTAACACTGACAAAATCACGCAATTTGTATATTATTTTGTGTGAAAAATATAGTGTATTTATTGCAAAATGGTAGAAAATTATATTGATGTTCTAAGATTTTTTTTATTGTCCATAAAGCCGGTTTTCCACTAGGCAAATTTATTCGCGCGAATAGAAGGCGTCGGCTCGGTTCCTGAGCTCTGATTGGTTGCGCACATTTTTTGCTTCGCAAAAAGTAGAGAGAGTTTGAACTACCAATTTCGCTGAAGCGAAAACGCCGATAGAAATATGAATGCGCATGCACGACGCTTTCGATTCGCGCGAATAAATTCGCCTAGTAGAAAATCGGTTTAAGCCTGGGTAACTGCTTTGAGACTTCGTCCTCTGCTACCCAACTCCAACTCTCCTACAGTACTCCGATGAGAGATATCAGCCACCCACCAAGTCACCTCAGCTCCACTATGGGTATTCTACCGATTTATGTTAAAAAAGACATTGTTGCGTGCTGTAACTGTGGTGGTGGACCATTCTTATAATTCGACCCTATTTCTACCCCTTCTGTTATACTCATAGGCCTACACCATAAAATACACCATAAAAGTCCTTAGGATTTTACCCACCAAAAGCATAGAAAGAACAAGACCCATTGCAATAACATATGATAACTTGATATAGGGTAGGCTCAGAGAAGCAATAAGGCTTAACAATGCTTGATCTTAGAAGTTAGAATTATGCTTTTTTGAGTGAATAAACTTGTTTGTGCCGAAATGATAGAAAAAGTAATTGTTCTTCCGCATGAATTTAGATGCTTATGTTTTGGTGTCACTTACTGTTAAATAATTTAACTAATTAATATGCATATATCTTTAACTCATTAATATTCATTCATAAATCCAGCTACAACGGCGTAGAGTGTACAATTAACGTATGCATATTCATTGTTACCAGTCAGTAACAAAGAATAGTTATTTACCGAGAAGAAAGGTATTGGCCAAGGAAAATAAGAGAATCTATGGAAATTCGGACCAGGCACCCCACTCTCAATCGTGACCGTGGATACGAGCTACCGGCAGTACTGGAGGAGGTGTTGTCACATGATCATTCAAATTCTATTGCATGCTTGGATGACCATGCGATTATGTGATCTGTGTAAATACATCAGTTGCCCTGAAGAAGTTGCTGAGGTAGTAACAAAAGCTTGGAAGTAAGATATAAATTTTATTTAAAATATTTCCAATTACAAAAAATTATCCACTTGATACAAAGAATATCCCATTTTGCATTAACCGCATGTTTGCAAACACACACAGTATACTGGAAATGATGAGATCTCAGTAAAACTATTAAAACAGGTGACTGAAACAATTATAGTATATTCCTTCACTAACTACAGTATCTAGTTAATTCACCACTCACAACAGGATTTTCCCAGATAATTGGAAAAAGCAAAGACATGTCTCATGTTTAAAGGTGGAGATCAAACAAACCCATCTAACTATAGGACAATTTAAGTACTTTCTATCCTCGCCAAGATAATAGAAAGAGCTGTTTTTGATCAGGTGTACCCCCACTTCAAAAAGTTGATAATACAGTAATAAAGAGCTGTTTTTGATCAGGTGTACCCTCACTTCAACAAGTTGATATATAAAAACCAACCAGAATTCTCAACGTTAAATTAAATTAACATTAAATTATTATTATAATATAAGCACATTAAATTATTCTCATACATTTGTTTTTAATCTGCTTGAATACATTAATCAAACATATTGATTAGTGTATTAAAATACTGCAGATATCATCTTTGGAGCTATTAAGGAGCATTTCAATATAATTTTAATAGTTGAATATTTTAACATTGTTTTTTCCATTGTTTGCTACAGCTACTCTTCTTGGTCTTTCGGAGATTACTGTGATTCCTAGTGGGATATATAATCCATCATATTCACAATCTATTCGTTTTATGAAGACACCATTTTTATCAAATAATTGTAATTTATCATTACTTGATACTAATATATTCTCATCCATATCCATGGTTACACAATGAGGTCCCCAAACTTTGCCATCTCCTTTACCACTATCTACGAGTATTCTCATAAACTTACCACTTGCATCAAACATTTGTATTCTGCGATTTCCAAAGTCAGCAACAATCACATGACCCTCCATAGTTAAAGTGACAGATTGTGGTATCTTCATTTGGCCTAATTCACCTCCTTCTGAACCTACCTTACCCAGCAGCCTGCCATCATCAACATTGAATTTATACACACAGTGATAATTACGATCTGCTACATATAAGGCTCTAGTTTCCTTGTGTAATGTCAAACCTATTGGAAATTTCAAAATGCCTTTACCAAATGAGCGAATTTCCTGAAATTTATCATCACACATTACAACACATTTTGATAAGAAATCACTATATATCATGTGACCATCATTCATTTGATACATTCTATTCACTTCCACATCTTTTGGCATCTGTATCCTAGCAACAAATGAACCTGATTGGTTGAACTTCAATATATCTTTACTGTAGCTTGATACTAATATACATCCATCTCTATCTAACACTAAATCTGACACATTCTCTGTTTTATTATGTTCTTTGTAATCTAATATGTTACCAATAGTATGAACAAGTCCCAATGGTTCCACCTTGACTTTCACTGGAGATCCTTTGATGTGTGCAGCTCCAGCAGTTATCTTCATTTGCCAATCACCTTCCACATTGCATGTACCTGTTATTTTGTACTCTCCATTTCCATCATATTCTACCTTAGTTGGCGATACTCTATATGAGTATATTAGTGTTGCAGCTAATCTGCATGCATCACTCTCTTGTAAACTTGATACTTTTACTACAAATGTTTGTCCTTTTGTGACAGTAATTTCTTTATCATTATCAGCAACCTTGTACATCATGCTATCAGCAGTTGTTATTTTAAAAGTGCAATCTGTATTCATCAACTCATCAAAGTGTGCACACGGAGTATTTGGTGTAATTTGTATTTTTTGAAATAATTTATCAAAATCAGTTGCTAGGACCATGTCTTTGACAGCATTGATAACTGTCTTATGGAATCCAAGTGCATCTCGTTCTTCTGGTTTGTTCTTCATTGAATTCACTGTAGCCATTGTATTATTCATTTCAGTTCTCTTAGAATCAATATCTTTAAATTTACTATCAATGGCATCTTCTCTTTCTGTACGTATCTTTTCCAGATCCAAAATTAATTCTTTGCTTTTATCTTTATTTTCTTGAGTTTCAATGGCTTTCCTACTTAGCTTTAGTTGAGATTTAAATAATAATTTACTTTTAACCATGAATTCTAGTTTTACTGTTAATTCATTTTCAGTTTCCTGTGCTAATTTGACAACTTCATTGGCATCTCTGTTAAACTCTTCTATAGCAGTTAACATTGGAATCACTTCATGTAGATTTTGATGACATTGAATGATGTATCTACATTGCTCACATGCAGATCTGTTGCAAGTAGAGCAGTAATATTCTAGTGGGGTGTTGCAGTGAACTTGGCAATTGGTTGGTTGGCCATCTTGTCCCTTTATGTCTAGTGTATAAAGTGAATGATCCTTAGTTAAAGGTACTGCTTTGTGTTGTTTGATACAGTTGCCTCCACAAAGATACAGTTGACATGTTGAGCAGTGGTATGCTGGTTGGTTGTCACAGACACATTTAATTGGTTTTTGATCCTCAGTTTTCATGACATACTCTAATAGTTTACTAATCATTGTATTGGAAGCTAGATTTTTTAAATCTCCTTTTGTTATATCGTGTTCTTGTCCACATGTGGGGCATTTCATCTTTCCATGAGTTTCCACCCATTTCTGGATACACTGTAGACAATAGGTGTGCATGCAATTCAGTGTCTTTGGTTGTTGAAACCTGCTGAGACAGATGGCACACTCAAGATCTTTTTTATCCATAAACTGTAAGGCTTTTGATACAGACATCTGTAAAAACAATATAGATTTTTATTTCTTATTTCGTTTAAACCATATTAAATGAGGGTGACCTGTTCATTTCACCATTACTGGTGAGCTGATATTAGGGGCCTCAAGATAGATATTGGTACTGTATATGCATTTAATTAATAATAATGTGTACATATGAATGCTTATTTAGAATGTAATTATATCAATCTCTTACCTTGATTTTAACTATCGGAAATGAAGTTCCTGTTGTTACCTTATCAGTTAAATGTGGGCATTTTCTAATAACTTTATTTACCGGATGAAATGTTGATTAAATTTTGTATCAACAGGTTAAAGTCCAAAAGTAATTGGCACGAGAAACAACTCTACAATGAAAAACATACGTAAGTATTTTATTCATCACATTTGCAGTCAAGTTAAAACTGAATTGCATTGACATTTACTATAAGAGGTACAATAAAAGTACACAGAACAATCAAGTAGCAGTTAAAAACAAACAATAAAAAACACACAAAATAAAAAAAGAAAACACCAATTAGATAACAATTTTTTCTAAATCAATTAAATGCATGAATAAAATGTAACACAAAAAGGAAATTAAAGACTGCAATAACAAATTATTTTATCAAAATGGGAAAAAAAAATTATAGGTGATAAGATTATGTACAAACAATATAAAAAAATATGGCCAACATACTTACAAAAAAAAAATTTAGTGTGAAAACTCATTTCTGACATATACTGGTATAGTTCAGAAATCAATAATGTGATTTCCTTTACTTATTCACAGTGTTGGCACCAGAGAGTTGCAGACAAGGGGTCTGACATATCCGCTGGAGGGGGTCCAAAACAAGGGCCCAACAAAGCCTCGGTCTACGAATAAAAAACCCCTAGTAAGGTTCAGGGCAAATGGAAAAATTTATTAGATTATCACTCCCGCTGCGTCAAAAATTCGGGAAATATTGATGTGGGAATAAAAAAAAAATTTTTTGCCGCATCAATTAATATTTCAACAGCATAAAAATAACAATGCAATTTTGTGACTTCAAATACATTTTCTTTAAAAAACTATAAAATTAAACCAGTTTTTATACAATATTTACTATTACAGACAAAATATAAACAGTCCCTCCCTCATCATAAAAACAAAAGCGAAATAATCATTGTTCCGATTAAAAAAAAAAGCGCCTTCCCTCATCATTTTTTTTTTTTAAAGAGTGATAATCTAATAATTGTTTCTATGTGCCCTTACAGGGAGAGTTTTTAATGTCCAACGTGTGCTTTTAGACCACAATATTACAGTTTAGTTGGCAATCAAAATAATATTATTCGATAGGCAAATTATAATTTTTTTTTAAATTTAAAAAAAAAAAAAATTTTTACGCCGTCTGCTGATTGTCAATGGCAGGGTGAGTGGATTTTCATAGTAGTAGGCCTAGTGCAGTCGGTGCAGTGTGTGTTCCACTTTACATTTGAAAAATGATTTGGTTTTCTTAAATGAAGTACTGTAAATATATATTTTGTTGAATTGAATTGTACACCATATTTTGTGGAATGAATTTCTAATGCAGTAACCATAGAAAGTGTACAGCTAGCTCATGGAAAGCCTAGCCTGTGTTGTGAGTTGTTCAAAAAGGGCCAGACACAGACATGGAGGAAGTACCATGTGGAGGAAATACGACGATGTAGCTATGTGACGTGGCCTTTCCTAAAGATGACCTTGATTTTAGATAGCACATATTTTTCTATCAGTGATAAAAAAAATGTATCAATGCATAAGATGCCTAAACAACTGAACTTCAAATAGAAATCGAATGTTTAAATACTAGTAGCACACTAAACTCACTTAAATCTGGGAGTTGATCTTAGTTCAATTACTGCAAATATGGCGCACTATTGCCGATTGGGAATTCCCCTATCTATAATGCTCATTGACAAGTTTCTAAAAAAAAATCACTGTCAAACCAACTTAATAATTTTACTATAATTATAGATATTCGACTATTATTTCTGAATGTTTTCTTTATTTCATGACTGTTTTATAGTGGTTTTAAGATATTGAGTTTAACATTGAAGTTTATATACTATCTTTATCACATTTCATATATTTGTGTTAGGCTCGACCTGTCCAAAATATCAAATTTTATATGAATATAACAGACTTGCCCATATTTCAATAATATTAATATTGACATGTCCATATAAGGACACATCACACAAACTTGTCACATAAAATTTTATATTGTGTTTTTTTTTGTCACCTTGAAATTAAATGTTAAAGTGAATGATAATAAAATATAATTAATCAACATCTGAATTTGATAATAAATTATGTGGTCCCTGTTTGGGACTCCATTCACTGAAGATTCGCTCCTCCCCATACACAGAGAATTATGCGTACATGCCTGGTTGAGTTATCATTGATTCACATATTTTTTTCACTGAATATTGTGGTAAAAACTTAACTCTAAAATTTAAAAATATTATGTAGGCCTTACAAACTGGGTCTGTTTATATTCATGTATTAAACTGTTCTCGGTCATCCTCCTCACCCCTACTCCGGATCGTAACCAAAATTTATAATAATCATTTCTTAATTAGACTATGACGAACTATTATGGAAAGTTTCATTTATATTCATTGATAGATTTATTGAGATATTTTAGGTCTGCTAGGATAACTAAATTGTATCGTCACCAAAACATATAATTTCTTCCTTGTCACCTGGATAAACTTTCCCGAAAGTTTCATTGAGACAGTTGATCGATACGTTTTTAAAATATCCAGTGTGGTGTTTTTGCCTAACTCCCTTTAATTGGTCTTCACTGCATCGTCGACAGCGCACTCCAGACTGTAACATTTTACGCGGCACATCTTTTGTATATGGTCTATTCATAGAGAAAATAGTGTTCTATTTTCTCTGGTCTGTGTTTGGACATAGTTTGGAAAAGATTCAAGCATTTAAAGTGATTATAAATGTGTCGGTCATGAAAAAAAAAAAAAAAAAAAAAAACAGAACAAAATCAATGAATTTTCCTGCCACTGCTAGAAAAAGGCAATAATGATACTGCTAATGATGACGGATATGATGAAGATGATGATGATGAAGCATTTTGCATACCACACTCATTTTGGGTTTGTACACTCTTGTATTCATAATCACGTCACAGAGGGCTGACCCAAGTCATGTTTGAGTCAATCCTGTGTTTAATAATGATAATAATATTATTAATAATAATAATTTAAACGACAACGACAACGAGCACGACGAGGACGATGACAACAACAACAACAATAATAATAATTTATTTATTTTGAGATCGCTTCAAACACCGGCACACCACAGTGATGGTGTAGGTCTACACATATAAAGAATACAATCACATCAATCAATGAAATAATACCAATCAAAAGGGCATAGGCCTAGGCCTAGTACAATGTGGAGAAAAAGGGAACATAACAAAACAAAAAAGGTACATGGCTTGTTACCTGGGTGAGAATACAAACTACTATATCTGGTTTCAACATTATCCCATAGTGGCGGCGCCAGAGTGTGAAATCTGGAGGTGCAAGACGGTGAGGGGAAAGGTAAAATTTTAGGGCGCCGTATACTGGGGTGGCCGGAGGTGGGCGTGATTCGGCGTCGTTCAAAATATCCCGAATATGGTCCAGAGGGCGAAGCCCCGAAAAATATGACAATTTAGGGGTTCCAGAGGCTTATTTAATAGATTTTATAGGTGGATTGCCTACTAATATGTAGAAAATGTATATAATTTTTTCTCCGCAATGGTTTTCTTCTTTTTTGGGGGTGGGGGCGGGAAGTTACCATAAGAGGGATGTATACTCCACAAAACATAAAGGACAGGCTGGGCAGATCCGCCACTGCCCACAACCTTCTTGAGATGCCTCAGTGTTTAGATCCCTAAACACTTTTAACGTCCCTCTAATATGAGAACAGATTATCTTTCCTTCCTCTAATTCCATCTCATCTCATATTGATTTTCAAGTGTTTGGTATAATTGACCTTGATGTTTCTTCCTTTATTTCTCCTATTTGCCGTCACAAAATGATCTTCTCTTCGGCTCCTTTTGCTCACACTGTTTCTTCAATCTTCACTCTTCCCTAAGGCTGTAAACTCTGGTTTATTCTTCCTTCCGACATAACGGATCTTAATTGTTCTTTCAAAAACTTGAATCTGAACTTCCTCAACATTATGTTCACGCCTACATTTACTTTCAATTTCTGATATCGTAAATATTTTGTTAAAGATATTTTTGATAATTTATTGCATTTAAATTATTTATGTTTATTTATTATTTATTATATTTTTGTTAAAAGAGAGTCTTCAACAGTGATTCAGTTCTAGGCATTTGTATATTTTTAATGTTCATTCCTTGTCTTTGTATAATCATGGAGGAAATATATTATAATATATATATGAAATAAATATATTATATTTCCTCCATGGTATAATATACTGTTGCCGAAACTGAATAAACAAAATATAATCAAACCAAATAACTACAAATTGGGCATAAAATAAAATTCGGGATACATGGCAACCCAAAGAGTAACTGGTTCTTCTCTGTAGACACGTATGTCGTGCTCTGACATGACAGGGTGATATCTATGGAACGCCGTTACTGCCTTTGGTGCCTCTTTTCCGTTCGGCGCATTTGTTATTCGGCCCTTTTAACATTACGTTCGGTGCTTTCACATTACGTTCGGTGCTTTTTACATTACGTTCGGTGCTTTTTACATTACGTTCGGTGCTTTTTACATTACGTTCGGTACTTTTTACATTACGTTCGGAGCTTTGAACATTACGTTCGTTGCTTTTACACTGT